ATAAACTGTAATAAATAACCACTGTAAATTGCAATAGCTCATCTGCGGTAAATTGTAATAAACATCCACTGTATATTGCAATAGCTCATCTGCGGTAAATTGTAATAAACAACCACGTGTAAATTGCAATAGCTCATCTGCGGTAAATTGTAACATGTAACTACTTTAAACTGCAAAAGCTCATTTGAGGTAACTGTAACAAACAACTCCTGGAAATTGCAACAGCTCATCTGAGGTAAATTGTAATAGACAACTACTGTATATTGCAATAGCTCATCTTAGGTAAATTGTAAAAAAAACTATTGTAATCTGCAATAGCTTATCTGAGGTAACTGTAATATACAACTAGTGTAAATTGCAATGGTCGCTTTGCGGTAAATTGTAAAGGCAACTGCAGCAAGCTATAATACCTCAAACTATAGCGAATGTAAAATACCCTGATGTTATTTGTGATCAATATTATTCATATGCCAGCATACAAGAAACCATATAATTGAAAATGTGCGACTGAGCTATTTAGAAATTAAAGCCGATCATTGAAAACATGTTCAGTCATCGAATACATGACCATGTTTTAAACATGACCCATTTCGACCACTATGATGAAAAACAGAATGAAACGGAGTCATTTCTTTAAATATTTTTACAACGAAGAGTACAATAACTAGAATATCACATATTATATTTAAAACTGGTATCAGAACATAAGGAAGGTACTACTATCAATTAACAGTACAATGTAACCGGTTAATAATTATACGCAATCAGTTTATAAGAAACAACATGTGCATCAACATTTATCAATCAAATATACTTCTTTAAAAAACTCAATAATAAAATGAGGGTTTATGTTTTCAAAGCTATACTTAATGGGTGCAATTTTGAAATACTGATCGCTGTGATGGAACCATCATCATGGTCGAGCAGGACATGCTTGACCGTGATTATCTCATCACAGGGGATCCAGAACTGAGGATCATCTACTTTTATTAAATATGCTTGTGTATATCTTGCATTGTCAATACGACATCGTCGCATAATGACTGACAACCAAGGTAGGTGTAACCGATAGTTGGCTTTATTGCATTTTATTTATTTATACATGCTTGTCCCACTTCTTTTAGTAAGATCCCTCATGTAACATCTAAAGTCAGGTTTGATCTCACTATTGGATTAGAAGTGATGTCACAGATTTATGGAATACTGCTTCAAGAGCAGCAACAGCCATCATTTTACCAGACATTCAAACATGGCGAGGCAACCAACACAAGACGATGTCGTATTGACCAGCAGCAAGATTATTATGTAATTCAAGTAAAACTAGATGCTGGAACGAATTATTTTGATAGCCCGAAGACAGGACAGCGAGTCTGACAAAATAATAAAAGGGTTATGTTTACACTAATCATTGATGCACTCTTGAGGTGTTAAAATGGCCTTGAAGAAGGAAGTGTTATCTGGTAATCTAGCTGATAAACTTCTAGTTCCAACGATAGTGCACGTGGCACTGGTAACAGCCACACCGTCCTTGGATCCATCTGTAAACACTGACTTGTAAGTAATGTATTTGCGTGTTTACTGATTATATTCTTGTTGGTAGTGTAATTGGTTTGTATCTGATGTCCAACGATTAATGTTGAACAATCTCACTGTTCAGAGGACTATGCAAGATTTTAATCCAATGCTTAACCAGGTAGGTTATCTTTTGAAGTTTGAACATAAACACTTAATGTAAACTCAGATACTCATTCAATAAAAGAAGAAAACCGAAAAAAACTGTATTTTCATAAAATATTACCTAATACATGATAATGAACTCAACATATGTATACACATTTGATGTCCTGAAGAACTCGAGAGAACAGTTACTGACTTCAGACTAAGATCTCTTCAAAATGACCACCATTCACAGGGAGGGTATGTCATATTTCCATACAATAAATGACAATCAGTTCATATTCAGCCATGGGTCCACACACAAAGTGTGAGACTTTCACCATGTTAACTTCATAACTGATGCGTATGGAATGATAATATCACTGCACTACTAGATAATGTAATACTATCTGAAGTATGGGTTTGTTTTTTTTCAAAACAGAAATTGAAAATGAATACATAGCTTTGAATGAACGAACGAACGAACTGAAAATGAATACATAGCTTTGAATGAACGAACGAACGAAGTTAAGAAAATTAGCACCATATGTAAATCATTACGTTGGTGTCGTCAATTTATTTTTGTGTAATTGAGTCTAAAACCCCATTTGACATGCATCGTTTCATATGCCCTTTAAAATCGTTGTGATATATTGTAATTAGTTTGTGCCTAATCGATGAAGGAACTGGAGATCGTTGATCTGTTTCTATATAGTATTGATTTTATCACTTAATTACTTGATATAATTATAAATAAGAACAAGCTTGCTGATTTTCAGTGATCCATTTATGTAAGCTATATTGCCTTTTACTCCGAAATGTAAACTGTTTCGGCGGCTAGAAGAGACTTATTTGTCTCTGGCGTTGTCCGTTTATATTCAAGTGACTCCATAAACATCCCAGTACAACTTTTGCACTCTAATACGACAAATTTCATTAAGGGATGTATGTACAAATGTGTGTGTGTGTGTGTGTGTGTGTGTGTGTGTGTGTGTGTGTGTGTGTGTGTGTGTGTGTGTGTGTGTGTGTGTGTGTGTGTGTGTGTGTGTGTGTGTGTGTGTGTGTGTGTGTGTGTAATTGTGGAAAGTGGAGTCGTTTCTCTTGTCATACAGACTTGCATATATATTTTTTATTATTCTGATTTGTTATGAACAGATCTCAATATAAAACAGATAAGGCTGTTACACTGGTCGTGTTGAAATTCTTGGCCAAATTTTATTTTGCCATTCCCAGCAGAAATTCGTTTTCACATGCCCAAACAATCGACACAATTGGTAACAATGGGTACGCCTACTTATTGGCTAAATGTATATAATATGCTTAATATCTCAACTTAAACTGTGATCATATCTATCAACACCTATGTGCCGTGTGTCGGCGTTAGCTGCATGTTCCTATGTGCCGCGGGGATCGGTGTAAGGTGAATGTTCCTATGTGCCGTGGGTTGGTTACAGGTGCATGTTCCTATGTGCCGTGGGTTGTTGTCAGGTGCATGTTCCTATGTGCCGTGGGTAGATATCAGGTGCATGTTCCTATGTGCTGTGGGTCGGTGTAAGGTACATATTCCTATCTGCCAAGGGTCGACGTTAGGTGTATGTTCCTATGTGCCGGGGGTCGGTGTTAGGTGCCTGTCCCTATTTGCCGGGGGTCGACGTAAGGTGCATGTTCCTATGTGCCGGGGCTCGGTCTTAGGTGCATGTATATATTTGCCCTTGGTTTGGATTTAGGTGTATGTTCCTATGTGCCGTGGTTTGGGGTCAGGTGCATGTTCCTATGTGCCGTGGCTTGTTGTTAGGTGCATGTTCCTCTGTGTCGTGAGTGAGTGCGTGAGTGAGTGAGTTAGTATGGTTTTACGCCGCTTTTAGCAATATTCCAGCAATATCACGGCGGGGGACACCAGAAATGGGTTTCACACATTGTACCCATGTCGTGAATCGAACCCGGGTCTTCGGCGTGACGAGCGAACGCTTTAACCACTAGGCTACCCGACCGCCCCTCCTCTGTGCCGGGGGTCGGTGCTAGGTGCATGTTCCTCTGTGCCGGGGGTCTGTGTTAGGTGCATGTTCCTCTGTGCCGTGGGTCGGTGTCAGGTGCATGTTCCTCTGTGCCGTGGGTCGGTGTTGGCTGCATGTTCCTTTGTGCCGTGGGTTGATGCTAGCTGTATGTTCCTATGTGCCGGGGGTCGGTGTTAGGTGCATGTTCCTCTGTGCCGTGGGTCGATGTTAGGTGCATGTTCCTATGTGCCGGGGGTCAGTGTTAGGTGCATGTTCCTATGTGCCGGGGGTCGATGTTAGGTGCATGTTCCTATGTGCCGGGGGTCGATGTTAGGTGCATGTTCCTATGTGCCGGGGGTCGTTGTAAGGTGCATGTTCCTATGTGCCGTGGGTCGGTGTTAGGTGCATGTTCCTATGGGCGGGGGGTCGGTGTTAGGTGCATGTTCCTATGTGCCGGGGGTCTGTGTTAGGTGCATGTTCCTATGTGCCGAGGGTCGTTGTAAGGTGCATGTTCCTATGTGCCGTGGGTCGGTGTTAGGTGCATGTTCCTATGTGCGGGGGGTCGGTGTTAGGTGCATGTTCCTATGTGCCGGGGGTCTGTGTTAGGTGCATGTTCCTATGTGCCGTGGGTCGGTGTAAGATGCATGTTCCTATGTGCGGGGGTCGGTGTTAGGTGCATGTTCCTATGTGCCGGGGGTCGATGTTAGGTGCATGTTCCTATGTGCCGGGGGTCGATGTTAGGTGCATGTTCCTATGTGCCGGGGGTCGTTGTAAGATGCATGTTCCTATGTGCCGGGGGTCGGTGTTAGGTGCATGTTCCTATGTGCCGGGGGTCGGTGTTAGGTGCATGTTCCTATGTGCCGTGGGTTGATGTTAGGTGCATGTTCTATGTGCCGGGGGCCGATGTTAGGTGCATGTTACGATGTACCTGGGGTCGGTGTTAGGTGCATGTTCCTATGTGTCGGGGGTCGGTGTTAGGTGCCTGTTCCCATGTGTCGGGAGTCGGGGTTAGGTGCAACTTCCCATGTACAGGTTGTAAAATGCAAACTTAAGGTTACTATGATATACGGGAATAGATTTTGTGTATTTCAAGGTTTGGGGATATCTTTTGCGTCACAATAATGACTATCGCGTCCTAATAACGGTGTTGCAGGAAAACATTGCATTGTTCGCTTTTTTTCTTAGCTGTGCCTACATCGTGTAAGAATACGTAGTTGCTGTGCTGGATGCTCTCAATTAAGCACAACATGTATGGGACACTTTATCTATTCCTCCTTATATATCGAGAATCTGTATTTCAAAAGTGGGAACAATGTCTTTTGTTATTTCTGTCATGAGAAAAATACTTACCATCGGATGTACCCCCAGATGAACTACCGGACGATACTCCGCCAGAACTCTCTGCAGGTCCCACGGTGGATTCTCCGTCCGATGAGAAAGTTGACTGTGTGGCTGTTGAAGTTCCTCCGGGTGACTGGGTAGTTGGTGAAGTTCCTCCGGGTGACTGGGTAGTTGGTGAAGTTCCTCCGGGTGACTGTGTAGTTGGTGAAGTTCCTCCGGGTGACTGGGTAGTTGGTGAAGTTCCTCCGGGTGACAATGTAGTTGTTGAAGTTCCTCCGGGTGACTGGGTAGTTGTTGAAGGTCCTCCGGGTGACTGGGTAGTTGTTGAAGTTCCTCCGGGTGACTGGGTAGTTGTTGAAGTTCCTCTGGGTGACTGGGTAGTTGGTGAAATTCCCCCGGGTGACTGTGTGGCTGTTGAACGTCCTCCCGGTGACTGGGTAGTTGGTGAAGTTCCTCCAGGTGACTGGGTAGTTGTTGAAGTTCCTCCAGGTGACTGGGTAGTTTTGGAAGGTCCTCCGGGTGATTGTGTAGTTGAAGTTCCTCCGGGTGACTGTGTAGTTGTTGATGTTCCTCCTGGTGACTGTGTAGTTATCGAAGTCCCCCTAGATGATTGAATGATTGTTGAAGGTCTTCCTAGTTCCAAAATGAAAATTTCCCTATTGGTTATTAAATAAACAATAAACTTGGAATAATGACTACTTTGCAAGCTTGGAAAATATATTTGGTCATTTTTTTTTACTATATATAATAATCACATATGAATGTTTCTTTATCAAAGAGGCAAGGCTATTTTCAAAAATGCTTTTTCTCTATAACATTTCAGATGTAAATGTAACACATGTTCACCTTCTGACTTGATGCATATATGTTTTCTTGCAGATTCCACGGGCACACAGAATTGTCCATTGTCGCAAACTGCAGACTTGCAAGCGTGAGTCTGTAGATGAGTGTATGTGTAACAATGAATAGATGAGGAACATGTACAACACAGTTGTATTCAGGACAATTGAAAACTGAGTATTTTCAATAAAATGAATACTTGCTGTGACTGGCAAATATCTTGCATTTTTTTTAATTTTACACGCCTTTTTGTCTTTCTAAGTCATAGATATAATGGCTGAAAGGCCGGGTTTTCAAGTTTCTTATCTGTGAACCAAAAATGAACCAAACCACACGTGCACAACTTATTTTTAATTTCATCATGAAGAACCTACTTATGTCAGCTAGTTTTGCATTAAGAAAAACACAGGCAAAAAACATATAATTTATATGTGTACACTATTAAGCTTACTACTGAACAGGGTCGGTGGTGTAGCCTAGTGGTTGAAGCGTTTGCTCGTCATGCCGAAGGCCCGGGTTCGATTCCCCACATGGGTAGAATTTTTGAAGCTCATTACTGGTGTCCCCCGCCGTGATATTGCTGGAATATTGCAAAATGCGGCATAAAACTATACTCACTAACTGCTACTGAACAGTGACAGCGGTAAAAGGAAAAATGATATCTGTCAGTTATATAAACTCTTTCGTTTATTTACAAAACACATGAATTCTTATGGCTTAAAGGGGCGGGAGCAGTGTAGACAAAAACCTTATACACTACAAGTTTCCGTTAACGAAAAACTGAGAATAGAACTGAGCGAACTTGTGAAACTACTGGTATATATGTGGTGTTGTGCTTCTCAGGTAAAGCATGGCGTTATGTGGCTTTCGAATACTATATCTTGGTTTCATATCAGCATCGTCACTGTCATAGACCTTAAAATCCCTTCCTGTAAAAATACCAACGTCTCATTTACCAATACCAACATAAGCAAGGTCTCACCGATTGAAAGGATACAGAAAGCGGATTCCCTACTGCAGCCAGGAGGGTACAAGTTCCGGTCACATGTCGGTAGTGGACACTTCGGCATCCGGTGTAATGGTGGCACAGAGAGGAACATGTTTGAAACATCCTTGTAGTGCCAGTCCACAATACCGACCCAGGTAGCTGTGGACGTCGCATGGAGTTCACATAATCATCAACGTTCAGACTGTTGACATTATTTATACACAAAAGTAATGTAATCTGAAGCACCAACATGCCTAAAAGATGGGGAAAGTGATCTCCTGAGCACAACATGTACACAACCTCCAAGCAGACAAATGCTTATGCAATCATCTGAGATAAATGAACAGCATCCTATATGCATCTGGGGCTTTGTGTCCAATTGTCAAAGAGCAAAAAGATAAGACAAAGCTGAAAATAATCAATGTCATTTCCTAGCAACTGGAAAACACGTTTATCTATAAAACAAAAGGAACATCCTTGTAGTCTTGGAAGAACGGCTATCAACTAAGGATGTAACAATACATCGGACTATCGATGTATTGCAATAGTGAGTGCCCCGATATCAATTTATCAATGGGAGTCGCTTTTTGCAATCGATAGTATCGATGTAAGTGTCCAATATCGATAGTTTCGATAGTGTACGGACTTGTTTTATTTTGTAGCACTTTAGGGTTGTCTTTATGCGTTGAAAACGTATTCTGATTGAATAGCGCACAATACAACTCGCATCCCTTCAGGGAATTCAGATGAATAAACAGATATAACAAACTTTGTCAATAAAAGAATGAAATTTGATATAAAACATCAGTAGACATGATGATTTATCATTTAAAATCAATAAAATGTATTTTCGGTTCTCCAAGGCATTGTTTTATTTTATCACGAATAATATATTCCAATCGTATTATTTTAGTTGCAGCTACTTCTATATATACTTAATATTATAAGAACCATAAGCGTAGCACTTTGGTACAGGTGGAATGCAGGATAATTTTTTACGTATAGAACAATCTGACCATTCACCGTAGGTGCTAAGCTTGAAAACTGGTATGGCAGTTAGAGTTATTTGCCCCTCCTGTCTCTTAGCAACCCAAGTTTTGTTTTGTTTGAAAGATATTCTGTGTGTCAGTGAGTTTCTATTCTAATTGTTAGGTATTGTTTTGATATAAAAAACACAAAATACATTGAGTTTATTGAGTATAAGACATGGAGAAGTTTCTCAATTACTTGATATTATTGATATAGTGCTAACTAGTGTTAACATTGTTTTGTTAAGTTAAATCAGCAGTGAAATAAGATCTTATTCTACCATGACTCCATGAATGAGTTTTGTTTCACATTTTGGTATGGTTGGTATTGTTTACAACTTGAAAATAAAACAAACTGGTAAAATTTCAAATGTTTTATTGTTTGTTAAAATATTTTATCTTAAAAGGATGAAGTAATGTTTGCCAATAGTTATTGCAATAGTATTGCAATAAAATCTCTCAATATCAATAGTTATTGATATCGCAATAGTCTTTTTGGCTCAATAGTCAGTCACCCCTACTAACAACAGCTCATTTCGTTATTTATTTAGGACTAATGATGGGTGTAATCATACGCGATCGTGGTGAAACAATGTACCTATTAAAACTGCACTTCTCCACATACCACCGTTGGGAGATCCAACTTGGTGCAAGCAAGTCAGGTCGTAGATATGCTAAATGAATGATGAAAGTCAATGACGAAGCCGGCTGTGTTGATTTTTCCATCACAAGGGATATAAGTTTAAAAAGTTCACACACAAAAGATATTTAAATCTTCTCATAAGTTCTCATTTAATTATGTGTTGATTTTGAAAGATATATCATTCAATGATACATTTTCATGTACAAAGTTAGTTATTTTGAAATACGGTCTATTTATGCTGTCTTATATCACTTCAAACGGTTTAGAGCTCTAGCTCTAATAGGCATTGATTATTTGAAACCTCTGGCTTCACCGAAACAAATTCATTAACTCTGTAGTATTGTTTAATTGACAAGGGAAATTATATGTTATTGGCTGAGGGCGTTTTTTTTATTTATGTAATTATCGGCAGTCTGGCGTCGTTCATTTATGAGCGAAATACCACTGAAGGACTTGTCACACCTTGACGAGTCCAGCATAAGTCTGTTCAAGAAATTCACAAGAGATGTATTTGACCTACCAACACTGATAGGTTGACGGAGCGTATTGGGCATATTACCCTCAATGGACACATCGTGACGGGTGAATGAGTGACTTCTATAACACATGTGTGTACGGGCCTCGATTAGGTAAATGCTTTTACCTACGCCTTGAGGGGAAACATTGTTTAAACTTTTTAATAGACCTTTTCTCTGTGATTCGTTGATGAACATATTAAGAAGACTGCAGAGGAGCCGCAAGCATTCATGGAGAAAGTTGTGACGATATTTCTTTACAAACCCCACGGGAGTACTGATAGTTAGGTCCACTGAAGCCTACAAAGACAATGCCCACAGAGAGGACTAGCTACAGAGCATGTTGGTTACTGGCAGTCACTATGTTACACTTACGTGCACACGGGTGGGCTGCACAATACGCCTACACTGTCAAAGTAGATCAACCGACTATCCTGATTATTCTACTGTTGCATCTCCAGTGTTTTCATGAATGTTTCATGTTCATTTTCGACGTGACGATTGTGGGAATGTGCGGGAAATAGTATTGAGGGAGGCATCATTATTTTAAAAGGGTTTTATATTTTGAAAGCTTTTCAATTTTATCAACATCCTTAAATAGGATGTAAGGTGAGGTGAGGTGAAATGGGGTTTAACGTCGCGTCCAAGATCATTGCACTTATATAGCGACGTGCATGTACGTCTGTGTGTTTGTGTGGCTGTTTGTACTAGTCTGGACTGATGCCGATTTATAGTGCTAGCTCAATGAGATATCATGCTGCAGTTTAACATGAATATCCCACTCAGACACAGTAAACTGACTCCGAGCCGACCAGTCCTTGTTAATGCCGAGCGCCAGACAGGGTAACAACAAGTACATCTTTTAACGTCTTTTGGTATGACGCGGCCGGGGATCGAACCCCGGACCTTCCGCTCCCCGGGCGGACGCTCTACCACTAGACCACGGAGGCGGTCAAATAGGATGTAACATAGTGTTGATATGTCATATCAGAAATAAACGACTCGTGGTCATTGTGTATCGTCCAATAAAACACTGCAGAGAGAGTAAACCACTCCGGGCTGCGCCTCTCATGGTTTATTATCCCTGCAGTGTTTTATTGGACGATAAACAAATCCTACTTGTCGTTTATTTCTTAAATCTTGGAGGAAGGTTCAGAATCTGGGCTTCAGAGATGTCTACAAACAAGAGCGTGATGTTACAGATGTTTTCGGCATATAGCAGTACTTCCATTCCTCCCATTTAACATGGCGCAAGATGATTGGATAGAGATCATGAAAGAAACTCGTGCCTTTAGACAGACAAGTGTCCCATGACTACACGACCAACACCTGGGTCGAGGACCATGCACAGTTTCGCCTTTGGACCTGGAACCACCATGACAACATCGGTCCTGTGATAAACAACCTTCTCCAGGGATGGTACTCGGGTTAGTTCAGCTATTTCTGAAACCTGTGTTAACCCTTCAGTGAACAAGTGACTATTGTTTTATCCTCCAAAGTAACATACATTAAAAGCGGCGTTAACCCCAACTCACTCACTCACTCTCTTGGGTCAGTGATGACCAATTGATTATTTGATGAAGCTGCTCAGATATCTAAAACGCGATCCTCATTTGCTTCCCAGACAGAAACTCAGAAAATGCCATCAACTCAGAATCTGAAATCTCAATCATCTGAACCAGATAGTGTTAGGGTCAGTCAAAAGGTTCAGGGCGAAGCCCATTAGACAAAAAGTGAGAAAAAGCAATTGATAAGACGGACAAAGGCACCTCAAAACTTGGAGTTGCCCTCACCGGTCTCCTCCCAATAGTAAAACAGCCCAGTTGTGAGACACCTTAAAACAACAACGTCATACCTGGTTGCACATGTTAATCAAGTAATTAACCACTATCATGAAAATGGACTTGTCTTATTATAGACAAAAGAAATGACTCAAGATGCTGGATACCCCCTTTTACTTTATTTCATTCAACATTTTAATTCATCCATCCCTTAAATCCATTGTTTTAACATATTCGTCACTTAGAGTTCAGTTAAAGTTCATATCACAGTTCACATCACAGTTCACATCGAGGTTGTCACACTGACACAACCTTAATCCATCTTCAGAAGTTTGCCAACAGCATCCAAGAACTGGAGTGATGTCTTGACACCCTGGGATAGCTGATCCTTCAGTCTGGAATGTCGATTGTCAATCTCCTTTTACACAAGCTTTCTGGCTGGTGGAGCTGCACCTAGGTCTAACTGGGTTAGCTTGGTCTTCTCAGATTTCACAATCTTCTTGATGATCTCGATGAACCTGTAGAGATTAGGATGACGATGATTCAGTGATGCATTGAGGCGACTGTGGAAACCCTCCAGGTTGTTGTTGGTTCTTGGGCCGAATGTCTGGTGATGGTTTCACAGCGAAAGAGGGTATCTGGCTTCATAATCCACCCAGTTTGTGACTATGTAGTCGTTGAATTCGTCAGCATTCGGTACATTGGGAGACTGGTTCATGGAGTCAATCTCTGGTTTTAGGGAGTTTCGGGATGGTGTGACTGCGGTGTCTGTACATGGCGCTGCCGACTGAGCTGAAGGAGGGAAATATAGCTGCAGCCTCCGGATCATGTCTCAAGACCTCGTCGTTGTAGAGGGCTGGCATAGGAGAGTTTGGTTCTTCTCTTGCTCTCTTCCTTAATCTGCCAAGGAACTGGATTCTGCTGGTGTCTCTGGTGGGTGGTTGTGTACAGTGAAATTTCTTTCAAAATATCCAACTGTTGTACATTTGCCAATGCAGGTCTTAACGGTACATCGCCAATGAGTACCAGTTTGTCTTACGTTGTTCTTGTAGTGGAGATATCCCTGAAAGAGGACCTGGAGAGTACCTCTTTGACTGGTAATGAACTCAACCTGCTGCAAACCTGCCATGATTGTGCATGAAATGTATATGTGTAATAAGTAAGTTTTAACAAAACATGCATCTCAACTTTTTAAGTAAGCTCCTACTAGCTCCTAACTCATTTATGTCCTGAGAATATTCAAACAGAATTACTGGCCTACTCTTATTAATTAATCCGCTAATCATGGGCTGTGACCATTGTTAAGTGGGTAGGCTGGCTGTGTTTGTTTAATTAATCCACCCTACTCCACTGTCTTACAATGGGTGTCTCACTAATGGGATGTCTTACTAATGGGATGTAACCCCCTCACCTGCTATGACACCTATAGAGGTTCATAATCCTTTAGAGCCTCTAGAGATGGAGATTAGCCCATCACTCCCACGCAGAGGGAATGGACATCGCTCAAGATCTCCTGTTGAACCAACATGAGCATCTCAAGTTCAATCATTCAGTGGAACTGCTATAATTTTAATGACTTACAATTACTAATACAAGATTTTAAACCATCAGCATTTTGTATTCAAGAAACTTACTTGAAATAAACAGATCAAATCAACATAAGACAGTATAATTCATATCATTACATTTCTCCTCAAGGACCTAAAGCCACTGGACGTACTTCAATCTTGGTGAGGCTTGTGAGGCTTGTTTTCCACAGCCCTGATACTCTGAATACTCAGTT